TTTAAACTAAAGTGGAACGTTTCCCTAAATTCCTCAACAAATGTGCACAATTTAGAACTAAGTATGCTTAAGAGTTATGCCAGTGCTGCTGAAAAAATAAGTCTTACAGACCTGTCAGATTATTTTCACGCAATTGTTTCTCTAGCGATATTTTTACTGGCAAGTGTACAAGTTTATAGGAAAAGAAATAATTAGCTACTTTCAGAATTGCTGATGCATAGGAGCTCAAGCAGGCCAGCCCATGCCTCCTAGAGATTGTGACATTTTAAATTACCTGAATAATACCAGGAGCCATCTTTGGACATAATTAACACCTTGCCTAATTAATGTCAGTTCTAGACCATCAGACATCATTTATGGAGTATTATTTTATTCAAACTTGCTTTCACACTTATTATGTTGTAAACTTTAGATTTGTGTGCTGTTTTTTTAAGTGGAGCAACTTCTTTTTTTTTTTTTCTTTCCTTTTTCTTTTCCCTCCCCCTTCAAGTAATCAATGCACTGCTGAATGAGTTCATTTTAATGCACTCAATCATGCCTCTAATGTTCGTAGCTTACGGGCGCAAGCATCAGTAATGCAGGAATGTTATATGGCTTTAGTTTGGGCCATTTCATAAAATATTCATGGAATCAAAAATGTGCATCAAAATAGCGGCTGGGAGAATTACATTTATGTTCCTGCTTTTATGGCAGCTTCACATTTAAACCCATTTGTGTTAATATCTAGTCAATCTTCCTACTTTAAAAAAAACTAAAATGGAAGAGATCATATACATTCTCCTTTGCTTAATATTTGTTCTAGACATCTGCTGTGATACAACAAATATCTATAAACTTTCAGAGCTTGTGGTGCAGGGGAGTGGGGTAAGCAACAATTTGGGTAACACCCAAATATAAAAGATCTTATTTTCACTGCCTAGTGTTTGTCTTCACAGTCTACCCTGTGTTTTGCTGTTGACAATATTGTTGGTATTGTTGTTGTTGTTGTTTTTAATAAGTGGATGGATTTCTTGTTTGTGTGGGTTTTTGTGATGGGAATCTCCTTTGTAGTTGTTTTAAGACTGCACTTTCTATTTATTTATTTGTTTGTTTATTTATTTATACAAACACTGGGTACAGTCAGAAGTGCAGGAAGGTGAGAGAATTCACCAGAGCGGGGAACAGAACAGACAGACTGACGAAATACACTGCTGAGGGGAGCAGCGGGCCAGACAGACAGGAGAGGTCTGTCGCACCATGTGGGACCCTCCCCGGTGGCCAGGGATTGAACTGGCACTGCAGAGGCTGCGGGCAGCTTCGCAGCCCAGCTCTCAACTGCTGCACCACCAGGGGAGGCCCAAGACTGCAATTTCTATTAGCTGGAAAACTACAAATGCACAGCAACCTCCTTGTTTATGTAAATGTCATGTAATTATTTTTAAATTGAAGGTTAGACTTCTCTAGCCCTACCTGGACTAGAGTTTTGCGTAGTTGTTCACATGCGTCTCCCAGGGTGTGCATTCTGATACCGCATGCTGTTGAGGTGAATTGATTACTGATAGTACTGTTTGAATGCCAGTCTCAGTTGCCCCAACAAAATATTTTGGCTCCATTCTTTTCTTTGCTTAGCTTGAAATAATAGTGGGCTCTGGATTTTTGCTTAGCCTAGAACCAGGCATTCCAGGTGCTTCGTGAGCAACCACTCCTTAGGATAATCCTCTTTCAGCCTTGCTGTGGACTTTGCTACTTGGTGATGACGAAGACTCACCGGTAATTCCTGATACAACCTGACAGAGCTCATGCCCTCCTTGGGGCTCTTTTAATCTATGAATATTCTAGAGACCTTCTTTTTTCTGTCTTGCTACAGGTAACTATTTGTGATACCATGTCATTGTCTCTGCCCTCTTCCTGTGGATTAGAATGTTACTGATTGCAGAGAAGGAATCTAGAGCCCAGTCCCTGTGCAAGATGGATGCTGGGTTCTGAATCTCATCTGATGGTTCTGATATATTAAAGTTTATTTGTTTCCATGGGTAGGCTGTATATCAAAACTTTGAAGCTGCAGGTGAACCAAATTTGAAAATCTGGTGCTTGATCTTCACTTACATTTACATTTGGCTTTGTTAAGATTATCACAGTATTGATAACTTTTGATAATATTTCTCTCAGGTATATTAACTTTGAGATTTTCATATAAAGGCATATGCATTATGTCCTATTGAATATCTAGTCTTAATATTAATATGAGAGGCTTTACCCAGAATCTTGAAAGTCTTATTCACAGTTGGAACTATAAAGTGGATGGAAATCTTATCATTGATAATCATGCTTAAAGGAAAATATTTGCATATTTAAATTACTATGCTCATAGTATAGACATATATTTTAATATTTTTAAATTGAATATTACATTATAGTATAATATGAACTTGCAGCTTCTGACCAGCCTTTACAAGTTGTTAGGAAAACATTTGTGTGCTTATGGTCATTTGGATCAGATCCTTGCTAGCCTATGTACTGACACCAAATAATTTTTAGAAATGAATCTCCACATCTGAGAAGAACCAAAAAACTCTACTTCCTCTATGTACGTATCTTAGCTTAAAGTAGTGCCAGAATCTCCAGTACCCTCATCTGTGGCAAAAGTGATTAAGGAAGGGGAAGTGAAACCATGAATAGCTAGATGGGGTCACAGATGACTAAGTCTGGGGCCCCCAAGGAATTCCAGGGGCCCCCTAATGTCACTACATGCTTTAGATTCAAATAGGGAGTTCATGTGCAGGCCATGTAGCTGTTTATACATCAATTCCTCCAGAAGAGACCAGTCAGAAGCACATCAGGGGCTGACATTTGCTTTCATGCTAGAAGTTATTTGGGATCCCCTGAGGAGCACCACAAAATTAGGGAACTATTTAGAAGAGACTAGAAATCACATAATTCAAGCATTACTTTTAATGAGAGATTTATGTCCAGAGACCACATTTCTAACACTTATGTTTCTGACTCTTGGCTTAACTAGCACCTGCCACAGTAGAACCAGTCTCTGTACGTTTTAGATCCTATGTTTAAATCCTCAACATCCTTAGAAGCTATTTGAGTCATTTAACCTCTGTAAGCCTCAGTTTCCTCTTTAGTGTAAAATAATTATTTTATTTTACCTCACTAGTTTTGGGAAGGATGGCTAAGACAATGTATGAGGAAGAAACCTTCCATTTGGATTAGCACCTTGTGACCTGTGCTATTTTGTTAGTGAGCATCTCAGGAGACAAGTAGACCCTTCTGAGAGTTGAGCCTTGGCCAATGATCATGAGCTAAAAACAGGACAGTGATTCTAGCCTCCAAAGCTCTAACAAAAATAAAGTTCAGTTAAAATGGCTATTTCCCAACTATTGCAAGACTGTCTTCCACCGCACTCAAGGAAGCACTCATAGAAACCAGGGGAAACCAATGTCCCGAGAACCACCCTTACTTTGTTCATTCCTGAGGGGCAGCCTGTGCAGGATGCCTGAATCGTGCTTAGAGGAGAGGCAGGCTTCCCTGGGGTACAAAGACATAGCCCCCACCTTTTCTCCACTCTTCCTCACCTTCAGCCCTCTCCACATTTCCTCCATCTCGCCTTCCCCCACCACTTTCTCTCCCTCCTACCACATAGTCCTGCCTCCTTCGATAAAATCCTGGGCAAGAGTCTAAGTTCTCATGTCCATTTTCCATCCTGATGCCTCGTCTGCATCTCATTGTAACTAGTCGGGTTATCCAGAGTTCATCTCCCAGCTCGTCTCCTGGAATTCTTAGTGAACCTGTTATTCCTAACATACCTTTGCCCTCTCTGTCTGATTACTCTGTGTGATCACAGATGCTATCAGGTTCTTCTACTCTCCTTACAGTTCTCCCCCGCTGCCCCGCCCCAGAACAATCTAGTTTACTCCTAGTTCCCTATGTCTGTTGCCCTATTCACAAGGCCAAAGAGAAATGTGTACCTGTGCCTTATGGATAGATGGATGTTGGCTAGGGGAAAAAAAGGCCTCTCACATACACTTTCCAGCGATACAGAACTATACTTCACAGGCAGAAATATAGTTAGCAGAGGAAACATAACCCACACATGTCAATGTTCCATTCGAGTTTTAAAAAAAACGAGGGTCAAGGGTATTTGGCGGGAAGGTGTTTCTGGTGAAAGGGACTTCAGGAGACATGAAAAACTACACCTGCTTTTGTGGGAAGCAAGAAGAAAATTGTCAGCTAACTGTAAAAGATTGTTGAGAACAGTGATCCACCTTGAGTATGTGCACCAAAATGAAAAAAAAAAAAATAAGGAATTATTTTTTAAAATAACTTCTATTGTGTATTTCTTATTACCAAATAAATATACTTGGATGATAGAACCATTAGGCAGTACAGATAATCAGGAAGGAAATCCCCACCCATCACCCATCTAGCACTGATGATGTTTGGTAAATGTTTTCTGATGTTTCTCCATATTTTCACTTATTATAAGCACCTGTCCATGGAATGAAATATTCTTCGATAGTGTCTTGCTTATGTCTTTGTAGTCTTTTTTATCCTGTAACAATTTCATAATACGGTTTTATAAACATCCCCACAGGACACGTTCCTTGGTCTTTATCTTAGCTGCTGGGCTCTCAATCGACCTCGTGCCTTTGTTGAAATTTTGTGCAGATTATTTGCTGATTATCCACCTCTGTTGTGTTTCTTGATGAATACTATTCTTTATGCTTAAATGTATTTTTTTTACTGAGGTGACATGGTTTTGCAACACTGTATGCGTGTGATTTACACCTCTTCACATATATGTTACCACACCAAGTCACCGAAACACCCATAGTCCTCGACCATGGACCCATGAGCCCTCTCGCCCCTTTGCTCCCTACTTCTCCTGCCTCCCGTAGCCTCGATTCTGTAGTCATGCCCCCCTTTAAGAGTAAAATAGAAGAGGTACGCAAAATTTTTTAAAATATGCTCTGGCCTGTGGTTTATGTTTATGAATGTTGTTTATTCTTTAGGTCAGCTTCTGGAAGCTGCTGAGCATTATGAAGCATTTCATCAATTGACGCAAGGGCGGATATGGAAGGATGAGACAGGTCACTTTCTCAACTTGTTGGCCTGCGAGAGTCTCCTGAGGACGTACAGATTACTCTCAGACAAAATGCTGGAAAATAAAGAATACAAAGAGGCCATCAAAATTCTAATAAAAGCTTCAGAAATAGCCAAAGAAGGTGGGTAGAAAGAACACTCTCCACGCTGTTCGCTTTAATAGGCAGGCGCTGCTTCTCCCGGGAGTGAAGTAAAAATCGTCAAGTGTTCGGGTGATTATTTCCTATGAAATGCAAAGACAAATGCCATCAATATACTTTCAGATTTCACTGTGAAACAGAGGTGCCTTAGTGCTGACAACAAGCAATCCATTAGTTTCCTGAGAGTGTTATCTCCAAAATTACAACCCTCTGAGAGGAGTGTTAAAAAACAAAGAATGCATAGTAAGTGGGCAAAGTCATCTGCAAAAGTTGAGGGTGTGTGTGTGTGTGTGTGTGTGTTTTCTGTGTGTGGATGTGACTGACGTTATGTCTCTACAATCTGACAAACATTTCACTGTTTGTAAATTCCCTAGTGTGAGGTCATAGGAGGTCATGATACATTTTAAGTTGGGAGTTAATAGGACAATAGAACTCGAATACATGGTCGAGTAGACACTTGCCTGCCAAAGCCAAGGCATGGCCTTTGGACTGGCAGCAGCCAGTCTATAGAATGATATCGTTCCCACAGAATGATATTCTCAATGATATTCCCATAGAATGATATGGGAAATGTTTTTACATAATTTTTGGAGCCCACCCTGGACCTGCTGCCTCCGAACCTGTGGGTCAGCAGGACGCCCAGGTGATTCCTGGGCACACTTAAGAGCAGCGAAAAAAGTCTGGGAGATCTGGTCATATCCTTAATGTTCTATGTCATTTGCATATGTATAAAATGTAAAGGAAAAATTAGGAGCATATATTCACAAGGTTTTCCATTATGAAATGCAAGGATATTTTATTACTATGTAAAGCATATTAGTAGTGCAGGCTTTTCATGAAGAAGATAGCAGTTATGCTTTGGAACTAATCTTTATTTTCCTTTTTGTGTGCTTTTGATATAACTAAGAAGGCTTCTGCTACTCCAAAATCAAGAAAATTTACTCCTGCATTTTATTCTGAGTTTGATTGCTTCAATGCCTGCATTTCTCTCTCTCTTTCTTTCTCTCTCTCTCTCTCTGTGTGTGTGTGTGTATGTGTGTGTGATGTAAGAACTTCTCACTTGATGGTTTGCATGTGGATTGCAGTTGACTCACTACCATTTGTTGAAAACACTATTCTTTCCCAGTAAGTTTTCTTGGGAGCCTGTCAAAAATTAATTTACCATAAGTATGTGAGCTGTTTTCTGGGCAGTTAGTTCTATCGATCTAAATGTCTTTTCCTATTTCACTCCTACATATACTTGATTATCATAGTCTTGTGGTACATTTTGAAATTGAGAAATGTGATTCTTCCAATTTAGTGAATTAATTTCCCAGTTAGAAGTGGAATTTTTCCCTTTCATTTTCAGATTGTTCATAGCTTGTGTTTAGAAGTAAAATTGACTTTAGTTTACTGATGTATCTTGCAAGCTTGCTAAACTTGTTTATTAGCTTTGATTTTTTTTTAATATATTAGATCATGTCTTCTGAAAATATGTTAATATTTTCATTTCTTCCTTTCTGATCTTGATGTTGAAGGGAGGTAGAAAATGACACCCCCAAAAACCACTTTGGCATAAAAAATACTTTGAGCTAAAGGTACTTAAAAAAACAACAGAACAATAAATGACTTTCTAATCGCCGCCATTTTTTTCTGCAAACAGAAAATTAAATACGGCCATATGAAAGATGCCTCCCCTAAACTATGAGGATAGAAACATTCTGTATTGGGAATCAAAGCCAAGAGAATTTTGTACAAACAGACCTTTTGCTAAAACAATTCTTATTTTCCCTTAACTTCCCTGAATTGTTTATCAATAGTTACTTTTCCACAATTGTTTCTCTTTGTTCAACCCAATATTAAAACATACATGTTCCGCCATTTCTTTTGTCTCTTCATTCTTTATAAAGGCTCCCATGTCACCTAAATCCTTATGTAAATTTGTATAATTTTCTTCTGCTAATCTGTTTTATATCAATTTAATCTCAGCTATGGCTCAAATTCCCTAAGATGATAGAGGTAAAAAGTTTCCTACTCTACAAATGCCTTTTCTTTTTCTTGCTAAAGGTACTTAAAAAAACAAGTGCCTTTTCTTTTTCTAGCCTGGTTACCCTGGCTAGGAAAGCACAGTATTAAATACAGTTAGATTCAGGGGACTTCTTTGTCTCCATCCTGATCTTAGAACAAAAGCTTTTAATCTGTTATTATTATGTGTATCAGCTGTGGGTTTTTTGTAGCCTGTTCAACAGGTTGAAGAAGTTCCTTTCTATTTTTGAGTTTGTTGACAGTTTTTGATCACTGAAAGGGACTGGATTTTTGTTTAATACTTTTTTCTGCCTCCACTGAAATTATCTTGTGGTTTATGTCTTTTCCATTACCTTGGTATATCACATTGATTGATCTGTGTATATTGAACCAACCGTGCATTCCTGGGATAAATCCCACTCCATCTTTTTACTCTTTTTATATGCTGCTGGATTCAATTTGAGGCTATTTTGTTGAGAGGTGTGGTATCTATATTCATAAGGGATGTTAGTTTTTTTTTTTCTTGTGATATCTTCCTGTAATTTGATATCAGAATATTACTGGCTGATAGAATGATATGGGAAGTGTTTTTACATAATTTTTGGAAGATTAGTGCTGATTATCCTTTAAATGGTTGGTAAAAAATTCACTAGTGAATCCGGAGGCATTGGGCTTTGTTTTTCTGTTTTTAATCTAGCTAAAGTTTTGTGGATTTTGTTAACCTTTTTAATGAAACCATTTTTAAATTTTCTCTATTGTCTTTCTATTCTGTTTCATTTCTTTCCATTCAAGTCTTTATTATTCCTTCTTTTTAGTTTGGGTGTAGTTATAAATTCTTTTTTCTGGTGTTTTAAGGTGAAAAAATGTTCCTTTTTTAAAAAATAGGAAATTATAACTACATTTGTTCTTTTATGCATTGCTTTGGCTGGATTCCACAAGTTTGAGGTTGTTGTATTGCTATATTTTTTCTGATTTATTTACTTATTTATTATGTTGAGCCTTGCACCCCACACATCCATCTGGGGTTGTGTATTTTTATTTTTTGTTATTTTTTTATAATTTATTTTTTTATTTTTATATTCCCCATACAATTGCAACCCCCTCCTTTTCCTGCCCCCACCCCCAAAGTGTGTCTCTGGTTCATAGTTGTTTGTTGATTTTGATTTTTTCTTTATTATAGTTATTCTTTTTCCTGGTCCCTTATTTAGGTTTTCTAGATTCCTGTTATGAGTGAGGCCATCAGGTATTTTTCTTTTTCTTTCTGGCTTATTTTACTGAGCATGATCCCTTCCAGCACCATCCATGTTGCTGCAAATTGCATGTGTTTATCTTTTTTGATGTGTATTTTTATTTTCAGATCTAGTAATTTAGGAGTTTATTTAATTCCCATATAATTGTGAGCTTTCCAAATTTTTCTGTTATCTATTTCTAACTTCATTCTCTTGTAATACATTTGCTCAGTAGCATCAACCATCCTGACTACCTGAATTTTTTTTTCTCAGCACTGAAACCTGATTTTTTTCTCTATACCCTCACTTAACACTCCTAATCCCCCTTGCCATGCTTTCTTTTTTTGGCCCTACGTACTTATCACCCACAAGTTACCACATAATTTATTATGTTTGTTGTTATTTTCTGTCTCTTTCTGTCTCTGTGTGCTAATATGTAACTCCCCAATGACAGAGAATTTGCTGGTTAATTTACTGATGTATTCCAAGTTTGTAGGGCTGTGCTTGGCTCACAGTAGGTCCTCAATAAATTTTCATTGAACAAATGAATGGGTGACTATATATTAGTTAAACAACAAATGGAAGTTTTAGGGCACATTTCAATGAAACATGTCAGTTACTCCCAAGTACACTATCTCTATCCACTGCCCTGCCTGAGAGGTCCTCTCTTTAGACTGTCTAATAGATACACTAGTATAATTTAGATCTTGAAAATAAAAGCGTAGTGTTTTCTTTAAGATAAATGACTGTTGACTTGGAGTGCAAAGCAAATATTAATTTAACTCACTCAAAGAAACACAATATAAATAGTATTTCTCCCTTTTTATTCTTAAGTGTCTGTGTCCCTCAACTGTAATAGTGCTGACATTTTCTTCTATTGTTTTGTTGCTTTCATTTTATTTCAACATTGTCTCATTTAGTAAGCAGGGAACGTTGTCATGTTTAAATTTTATTTTAAAGCTAATATTTTTTATTAGTTTATGGGTATGGCCCAGCTGCTTCATTTAGTTACCTCAAAATCTATCTACAGGGTAGAGTTTTCTTTCTTTCTATTCCTTTTTGCTGGGCTTTCCTTTGCATAAAATTAGCAGCTATGATGATCTGCTTTCAGCACAGGTCATTGCAAGTGCTTTAACACAGATATGCAAGTACCAATCACAATCAATCAGCTTTTAATTATACAAGAGTTAACTTCATAGCCTCGTCCATCTACCCCATCTTGCCTTACTCTAGCTCCCCTCGTAGCCCCAACACTCATAATCCAATAGTGGGGAAGTTAAGCCCAGATGAATAAAAAGAGTTAAGTGTCTCCAGACTGACTCCCTGGCACCATTAACTTTGCTGCACTGAGATCTTGAGGGTATAATTCCCTGCAATCGGTAAAATTGCTAGAGAAGAAAAAAATGCCATCACCAGCATTCGCCATCCTATTTTCTCGCTGTCTTCTGATTGAGCCACTGTTTCACGAGTGGCAATTCAGTGAATAGTGAGAGTCATGCAGCAGAGAGAATTGCTGCTCTTGTGAAATCCATCATGGTTAGAATGCAGAGTTCAGAAACCTAAGGGTACTTCCTTCCAAAATCAAAAACAAGGGTGAAGGGTGGATCTGTCAGTATTTGCATCACATAGGAGTTAGGTGGCATTGAAAGTCAAAGAGTTCCACAAGCCGAAAAAGGATAGCATTCTTCATAAAAATAAGGATGCTTAATAATTCTTATATTAGATTTACATGTTATATTTAATACATAAATGTAAGCAAATTACATGTTAGATAGTACGATGTGTGTCTTGTTGAGCCACACTGCGCGTTTCCACATTTTGCTTTTGGATAGAATTTGGCAATTGCAGGACTAAAACATAATATACAGGGATTAGAAAAACTTAGTTCCTCATATAAAGATGATGAAAAAAGCATTGCCAAAGAAAAGCAAAAGACGTCAAGAATTCAAAATGTACTTGGAATTTTGTTCCAAGAAGCCAAGCCCTGTTAGTCATTTTGACCCAAGTTTTAACCCATAGCTTTTAAATTGCACCAAGCTAAAATAACAACTCCTTGATTTGCTAATTACCTGCCCAGTTAGAGACTTAGCCCAATGCCTGTCTGTGAGTATGTGTGTTTGTACACTAGTGGGGTTGGTACACTTCGCAATTATTCATGTGTGCAGGAGCAGCTATCCTGAATAATGACAGGGTTTTACATAGTGGAACATGATAGAAATTACGTGTAAAATGTCAAAATGATCACACGGGTCCCTGCATGGAGAGGGAAATGCCTCATAATTATATCACTAATGCATCTCACTCTTACCGGGTAAACTGTGTTTGCAGCAGTCTTTTTTTCTTCTCAGTACACAGGAGAAACGTGTTAAAATAAACTTGTTAAAATAAATTTCTACTATCTGAAAAAGCAAAGATTCTGTTGGTTGTAGTAAATCAGTTTGTCTAATGCCATGGTCATTTTCCTACATTTTCACTTTAGGAAATGACAAGAAGATGGAAGGACAAGCTACCTATTTCTTGGGCTTAGCATACTTGGCTTCTGGAGATTATGACACGGCATTAACGGTAAGTTGAAGTGAACGTTGATCAATTTTAATTTTTATTTTATTATATTTATTTTTTATTAAGTAACATTGCTTTATGAGACTGTGTGATTCAGAGGTTACACCCTTCAGATGTGTGTTACCACACCACACCCCCTACCAGGCCACCGGTCACCCTTGGGACTCCTTCCCTCGTTGTTTTCCACCTGCAGCTCCTCAGCTGTTATGCTCAATTCAACACTCAGATTTCATTGGATTTTATAAGGTCAACAGAATACTAGTGGGCCTGACATTAGTGTATCTATTTGTGGAGACTAAAACAAAATAACAACATTCTAGAAGCATTAAAAAATGGTTTTATTACTCATAGAAGGTAGTGTTAGCTCAATTGTCATGAAATGTGTTAGGAAATATGAAAATTAAATATATGGAGTGATGTGACCCCCTCCACTCCCACAGCACCAAGGCCAAGAAGAAATGAGCTTAAATGACAGTAAAAATTAAATGATGATAAAAAATAAATACAGCAAATTTATAATATGGTCTGTTTAGAAAAGAATGCGGTTCTCAGGCAATAAAATGGCCTTCAGTGCATGGGGCGGGCGGTGATGGAGGGCCGTGTTAGTCCCAGTGTGAGAAGTAGCCTGCTTCCTGATAAAGTCAGTGTTCCCCTATTTTATGACCATTTTATTTGATTTGTTTGGCTAAAACAGACAAATGTCAAGTGCTCTCATTTCTGTGATATGATGATTAGAAGAGATAATTTGTATAAAATTTTAAGAGTTCCTGCCTGGGCTATAATGCACCTTTGATAATTATTGGCTTTGATTACCTTTACACTCATCTCTGTCTCTGGACTTAGTAGTAGTAGCAGCAGCAGCAGCAGCAGCGAAGGTGGGAGGGAGGAAGTAGATTCCAAAGTTCTGAAGGACTTGGTAATAGACTCAATGTGGGAAGTCAGGGAGATAGAGGTGCCATGTGGTCTGGCTCTGGAGCTGGAGGATGCTGGTGTCATTGCTGGGGAAGATTGGAATGTTCTGGACGCCCAGACCTGGGGTGGATCTGAAGGTTAGCACCTGCTGCCAAATCTCTGGTTATCAGAAGTTTGGTTATCAAGAATCTGGTTATCAAGCCGTAAAAGCAGTAAATACTAGCATTTCTCAGGTAAGGACTCTCGACATACTTTTTGGAGAGTATATTTTACAATTCTCTGGAGTGAAAGGGCACCAAAATGGTTACGTATTAAAATCAGGTTGGTCAGGGTGGAGTCCCAGCTACCACCTCATCATGTGATGTTGTATGAGACTGAGCCTTTCTGAGCGCTGGTTTCTTCATCTGTCAAATGAGATAAGACTCCCTCACTCAGCACAGCTTCATGAGGATTCAGTAACAGAACACATACAAGATCTGTGGCATCAACTCAAAAGTATAGAAAACTGTAGCTATTGTATTATTAATGAAACACAAACAAATGATTTTTGAAAGTGTTAGATGGTCTTACATTTACAGAAATCACTATTCTGGTTTTTCCCTGGTATCCTCAAATACGACACTTAAAAGTATCCCCAAACCAACAGTTGCCATAGGAGAGCATAGGTAAGCGAGTAGGGAAAATCTACACAATCAAAGACGTTCAGAGTTTTCTTCAGAACAGTAATACATGGGAAAAAGTGTCGTGCGTGATACCGCTCCCGGCTACACAGCAGTAGTTCTCTAACTGCTAGTTGGTCAAATACATGGACCCACTGTACATGTTGATGGACAGTCCTCATATCCAAAGGAACTACAGTTGGGAAGAGGACGTGGGGCTTGGGGTTAGAAGACATGGATCTTAATCCCAGCTGCCACATACTAACTGTTGACGATCATTTAGTCACTTAACTTCTTGGAGGCTCACTTTTGTCTGTACAATGAGAGTGTCAATAGCAGCTTCCCTGTATGTGTGAACATTAAGTGAAAAGAAGTGGCTGTTCATACTTTATTTTATTTATTTATTTTTTTAAACATTTATATTTATACAAGAGCTGGGGTACAGGCCAGAGGCTCGGGAGGGTGAGAGGATTCACCAGAGGCAGAACAGGGAGCAGAACAGGCAGACAACAGAAATACACTGCTGAGGGGAGCAGCAGGCTAGACAGGAGAGGTCTGCTGTGCCATGTGGGATTCTTGCCAGCCGGCAGGGATTGAACCCGCGCTGCAGAGGCTGTGGACAGCTTCACAGCACTGCGCTCAACCCGCTGTGCCACTGGGGAGGCCTAGCTGTTCACAGTTTAGACTAGAAACTGTTTTTAGAAGTAAGATACTACTATTCCTGCAGGCTTCAATTAGCCCTGAATAGCGCTATGATGCTGCAGCCAGTAATCTTTATGGAATATCTAGTCAAAGTACCTGCTCTATACATTTTTTCCTTAGCTACAGTTTACTAAGTTTATTCTATGGAAGTTACATAATACTCAAATTTATCTTTGTATTAGCATGTATGTTTTTAATGGCACTATGATAAACCAACATTTTATGAAAACATTTTTGTCATCAATTTATTCATAGCTTTTCCTTGGCCTCTAATCAAAAAAGAGGGGGAAAGGGGTTTGAATTATTTATTGAAAGTTCCTGGCTGTCCAGTGCCTGGACAGCCCCACCAGGTGACACTCCTGCTCCTGGGTCACAGCCCCATCACTGAGCTTGGGGGCCAGACACTGGCTGTCATCCAACAGAAGGTTCTGACAGTCCTGCTCGAGGACACTCCTGACACTGCGGCTCATCAGTAGCTTTTTTTTTTTCCTTTTTTAAAAATTTATATATATATACATTTTACATCATTGTTCATTTTTAAATAATGTTTGCTTTTTTGCCCCCCACCGGGTGTAGTCCCCATAGAGTTTCCTTCACCAGTGCACCCGTGCACCATCACCTCAGTCCCCTGGGCTCCTCCCTCCCTCCCTCTGATCCCTCTCCCGCCTCCTCCCCTGCAGGAGGTCTCTGGTTTATAATTGTCTATTTGTTTTTGTTTTGTTGTGTTGTGTTGTGTATTATTATTTTTTTCCCCTGATGTCTTATTGGGTTCCCCTATATTCCTCCTATAAGTGAAACTAGCCGATATTTTTCTTTTTCCTTCTGACTTATTTCACTGAGCATAATTCCTTCTAGCTCCATCCATGTTGTTGCGAATGGCATTAGTTTATCTTTTTCACTGCTGAACAGTATTCTTTAGCAGCTTTCAGCATGCTGAAGAGGGCTTGCTCTCAGCTTGAGATGCTTCCAGTGCAAGCTCAGGGCTCCCACAGTCACTTTCCTTCTCCCTCAGAGTTCTCACCCGTTTCATCCTTGCGTGCTGTGGCCCATCTCAGCAGGCTCCTCTGGACTCCAAAAGGAGCAGTGGCTGCAGATCTCAATCCCCCTCATTGTGGCCACACTGACCTGCTCGTTAGTACCAGACCCTTCCCACACATGCTCCCACCAACACACCAAGAACACTTACTTCTCACCCCATCCATTTTGTTCAGCACAGAAATGTTCAAGATATCCCGATAGGACTGAGAAAAAAAAAAAGTGATAGGATCAGAAAAAAATTAATAGAGGATGCTTTTCTAATTAAAAAAAATAGATTTATTTCCACCGTGCATCGAATTTTATTACTCCAAATTATTAAGCGATTGTTTATGGCATGCAATAAGCATGTATTCCATATCTGGTCTTACCTAATGCCTTTTTGAGCAGTTAGCTTTATTGGGAAAAGAGCATATTACCTAGTTCATTAAAAAAATGTGTTTTAATAATTTGGAGATTATGGAAATGTAAAATGCTTTACTAATAATTTTGCTATTGTCTTTAAAGTCATGGCATTTATAAAACATTTAAACAGGTCTTACAGGGATAATTTAATGTAATTTTTGTAGTAAAGATTGAATAAAATCTTAGTAAATTGAATGTTTTTGAAATTTCCTCATTAATAGGGAGTTTAACTCTCTCTACACTTTTTTTCCTGTTTAATTTTCCTAATGGTTCTTTTGCTTTACAATGTCACAGCTTAGGAAAATAGCATACATCTTTTTCTTCTTTTTAAATGATGACTACATTATGATATTTGTCATATAAATTATAATATTTGTCATTTAAGTGACAAAAGCAATGTAGAAAAATCAGAAACCTCCAAAAAATCAAAAACCTGTGTATTTTTTAAATAGTAATCTGAATGGCAAAAATTTGCAAATCATAGTCCATCATAGAATCATAGGAGACTCCTTATGTGAGGGAAGAAAGGTCCAGGCCTAAATTAATATAAACACTGATTTTCTAGTAATAAAATCTATTGATTTTCTTGAAATTGGAAAGCTGGTTTTAAATTCCCATGAGATCTGGAATCCCATTTTATCCAAAACTTCATGATTATTTTACCTATTCATTAGAAAAAGAAAGCTCTCCTTTAGTGATTCTTTACAAAGCAGCTGAAATGTTTGTTTTCAGTCCTTCACATTTTAAGTATAGTGCAAAAAATTCCGGTATTTATTTTTAGAGAAAAAGAAGGGAGGGAAAATTATTTTTATTTGGTTCATCCTAAAGAGGATGAACTTTGAGACTCTGGAAATTGAACACACTAATCAACTGTACCGAAGAGTGACATATGGAATATAATGTATGTAGATTCCTTAAAGTTCAAGGCCTCGCATATGAAAATGATCTCCAGAGCAATAAAGCAAGCTGCATAGTTCATCACGAGACTAATTGAATGACAGAGCTAGAGGCAATGACACAGCTGTGAGCACGTGTTGATCTAGAAGCTGCATCCCAAGCGCAAGAACCTGGACATGGTGGGCCTCCCTGGTGGCCTAGGGGTTAAGTCTCAGCACTACCACCTCACAGCCCACCGTGATGGCCTGAGTTCAATCCCCAGCCAGGGTACAGACCCACATGGCATAGCAGACCTCTCCTGTCTCACCCGCTGCTCCCCTCAGCAGTCTATTTCAGTAGATCTGCCTATTCTGCTCCCCACTCTGTCTCTGGTGAATTCTCTCACCTCCCCCC